CCCCAAAACCCCAAAACCCCAAAACCCCAAAACCCCAGAAGGCATAAAATCAGTTGAATCTGCAATTTAAAATAAGAACAGGAAATTAAATAAAGCGAAACAATCTTTTCGCAGGATATGAGTCTTATTTTACTCATGTAGACTCTGATGAGATTGGAGATTGATACTCGAGTGATGCCCAGGCCTCGTTACAATTACTGAACATCCCAAGGTTATCTGCCATCCAGAGGGCGATGAAATATTGAATACCAACACGCTTTAACCAGCGTGTATACCCAGTCATGAAATTGAAGTAGAGTTGATCCATGTTTTCAATCATCCACTTGGCACAGTTTCTATATGAATTGTTCCAAGTGCAATGTCCACCACGCTCCTTTGGCCACAAGTCAACCATTTCACGTGTGAAATATAGAGGATAACCTAAAAATGAAGCAATACCGAAACTTAATGCCATATTTCCTGCCTTTATGAAATCGTAGTTGAAGTCGTTGTAAACCCAAAGGAAGAAGAATTTATTCTTATTGAAGGAGTAGACTGTGCAGAAAGTTGTCCAGAATAGGAAAGAACTTGTGTAGATTGGGAATCCACCCTTGAATAGATATGATGGTCCTTCTTCAAATGGTATTCTGAGGAGTGCATTCAATGGTGAGGAATAGCCTCTTCTCAATTCAACTGGCCATGTTCTATCGGCAAAATATGCTCTTCTGGCGTTTTCGAAAGGAATACCAGTCATGCAAGTAGGGGCGAAAGCAACAATAGCGCATGTCAAATGTTTGAATGTGTTAGAATCAGCATAATCTTAGGGAGAATATGTACCTCCATAAATCCATTGCCATGCAGCCAATTTAACTCCAACATCAGCACCACCAGCTAATAGACCAAAAGAGATTCTATATTAAATTTAAGATTAAAAATGGAAGTGAATTTGTGAATTTTTACTTTTTTGCAAGTTCAGGCCAGAACTCTGGTAGTCTGAATACCTCCTTGAAAAAGATATTGTACTCTGATCTAGTCTTGGGCCATTCGTAGAACTGGTTCAAGATTTTCACATGATTAGTAAAGTGATTCAATGGCTCAATCTATTAAACAATTGATTACTATACGAAATGCATACCAATAAAGTTGCAGTAGACATTGCATACATTCCTCTCTTGAAGTTCTGTTTAGGTGAGTTATAGATGGGGGCCTTCCATACGGGCACTATAAAGCAATTGTAAAGATTGAGAGTTGGTTGTACTTCTGAGAAAAGCATCAGTGTATGGCTGATGGATTCTTCTACTATCATCGAATTCAAAGTACATTCTTTATTATCAAGGCTTTTTATAATGTTTTAAGACGCCTTATTTTATTAATTATATAAATTAATCAATTATTACTCATAAACTTTTAAACTACTCAATCAAATAAGGAATCTCTCATCAGCTAGAGTATGCTTAGCAACGTTTCTTCTGCCATAATGAGTTCTGAGGAAAATCAAGAAGTTGTCAAGAAGATAGGCAATTAGTATTCCAAGCATTATTCTCGATTCCAAATTTGAATTTTTGTGGCCTGCCATGTCGATGAAAGATATTATCAGCACATCAAGCATTACAAAGTCAAAGTCAAGGCCACTCAGAAGATATGTGGAGAAATTCATCCAGGGATCCTTGAACATTGTTGGGGCGTCAGCATTTTCTATTTTAGGCATTAGACCGAGCCATCTTGAAATAGCATCTCTACTCTTTATATATTGCTTTGGTTCAATTCTGACTTTTTCAACATAAGTTTGCATGAGTCTATTCATAAATAGCCCAGGATCCTCAAGAGCCTGCACATTCAAACCACTAGGTACAGCTTTTTCTCTGGTTAGAATCTATTGAACTGAGTTAAACCTATTAGTCTTAGTGTTCATAATATTCAAGATCTCTTGATTGATTTCTTTGTAGTAGAGATCCTTATAATAGATCAGCATTTTTCTTGGCATATAGATTTCATATGTCTACAAATTTGGTGATTCCTCAGTAAGACCTCTCATTTGAGCTTTGCCAGTGATTTCATATTCAAGAGATTTCCTCAGGTTTTCAGAAGATACCTCTGATTACCCATAAGGAGATCTTCCATGAATATAGTATCCATGAAACTAGTTATCAAACATTAGAACAGATATGTTACTCATCGCGCATAAATCTGTAAATTCTTCAATATTTAATGGCTTTCTAAACTTAATCCCATATCTGAATACATACTGAGCTATTCCAATGACATACATCATAAAAGCAGTCACGAAAAAGTTGAGTACATAATTCTCGGGAGAATTTGCTCTAGTGTTCCTAAGTTCAGGGTCATGAGTTGAAAGATATCTCCAACCTACTCCCTCCATGAAAAATGCATAGCAAAGAAGGGTGAATTCCATACTAATTAGCTTGGTAGTTTAAAGTTCATTGAATTCGTTCAAAAGGAAAAGTTATCTCCATGCATTCACTCCATTGACTCCTTAACTCTTTTCCTAAAACTTTGGCTTTTCCCAATCAACGAGAAACAGATCAAAACTACATTGCTCAAAGATAATTTTATATAGTAAAGTGATTATCTTAGTTCCTAAAACTGTTCCAAATAAGATATTAAATGGCATGTAATTATTATCCGATGAGCCTGTAATAGTTGGCAATAAAACGTATACTCTTTCTTGTAATTTGAAAAAGACAAACCAGTAGCCTGTAACGATAACCAGAAACCAAAAGAACAGCTATGAATAGACATCTAGACCAGTAATGATGAACTTAACGATAGCATATTTGCATTTAGCATTTACATCATCTGAAAGAGTGGGCAATTAATACCAAATGACCAATTAAGTGATCACAATAATTCCAAAGAATACTAAAAGACCTATAAGTAGTCCACCGATGGTTGTCCAGAAGTTGGTCATATCCATAGCATACTCAGAGGTGAATTTAACTGTAGCAAGGGAATTAGTTTCTATTCTAGTCCTTGATCTTTCCCTGTAAGTAATAATGAGAAGAGGTGTAAATATCATTTCTTCACTGTCTAGGTCCAACTTTATTCTCATTGTCAAATCTTTTGGATATCTCACTACCGTTGAAATCTAACCCTTCTTATATCCATCAGTGCCTTCTATACCACTGATAGTATCAAACATAAAGAATCTTCTCACTAATCTCCAAGTGTTTTAATTTAAGACTGATTCCTCATTAGGTTTTTAGCCCTATGCATCTTAAAAATTTCTGATTAAAACTGGTACATCAATAAGATCTCCATTATAGTCTTAAATGTATAGTTCGTAAAATATATTTTGATTTTCTGGGTGATCATAAGCTTAGCTAGAAGTTAGAGTACTAAGATCAAAAGTGCAAGAGTTTTCAATTGTTGTTCCAAAGTTCATCATTCTCTATACTTCATCTGTTGATGTCTCACACACTTGCAGTTAGTCAGTAACTGTATCAAACCCTAAGAAATCACCTTCCATATTAAACTTTCCAATCTTATAAATCAATTTGTTTAATATACCGATCTTTAGATTCTCGTACCCAAAACTAACTCTAAACTTGACTCTCTTCTATTCTGTTAATACTTCATTAGCGTTTCTCAAATAATAGAGCCATGGGAAACCGACTTTCCATCCACTATCTTTATAGAATGAGTTAGCCTGAGTTGGTGAAAGATTTGCTACTATACTCTTGAATAGAGAACACACAATAGTTCTTTCATTGTACATCTATAGAACACATAGATTAGCTAGTACTTAACACTTCTTAGGGTTTCCTAGTTCTTAGCATCCTACTGCAGCGTCATAATACAAGTAATTATATGTATCAGAGATGACCACAGTAACTTAACCCAAGCTATCACTGCCTGTTTCTACGTAATCATAATTGATTGTTCTCGCATTCTCAAGTGGGAAATTAGTTCTTACTGCTGTAACATCTGTATTTAAAAGACATATCCCATAAGAGCTTGTGTAATTTGAGGTCAAACATGCACAGGACCATGGAATAGTAGTGGGGGTATAAAGCTGGCCTTCAGCTGGACAGACATCACAAGAATATATAGGTCTGTTATTAGGTCCTGAGTATGCTGATTATAAGCACGGTGCACATTCCTTGGCTGGAAGGAAGTTATTTTGAGCATCTTTCTCCACAATTCTGTTGTAAAGAGGGCAGACGCAATCCTTAACATCGATATTGTCATTGAATGTGGCAGTGCCTGTACATCCTAGGCATCTACTTTTATCCTAAGTAGCTCCTGCACTCTATAAATTTAAGATTAAAATTAGACTCTTATTTAATACATCATCACATTTGAGGCAAGTTGGAAAGTACTTATCTTAGCTGTTTGAGTCGATATAATACCCAGGTTTGCACTCACATCCAGTCCCTAATGGAAAAGAGATTATTTTAAATGCTGAGAGAATTTTAAATCTTACTGTTTGAATCAGGCTGCAAATTTTCTGGACAGCTTTTGCACTCGAAGGTTGAAGAATCGAAATACTAGGTAGTAGTACACCTTGAAGCAGTATTCTAAAGGGTTACTTGTGACCTCACTTGGTAAACTGTGAATAAAACCAAGCAAAGACAAGTGATGATAAATTTGTATTGCATTAAAATATGGAGGTTTTCTCCTATAATTTGAATTTAAATTATTTAGATAATCTCTGTTAATTTATAATCTTGGGGTTTTGGGGTTTTGGGGTTTTGGGGTTTTGGGGTTTTGGGGTTTTG